AGATGGACTGACACAGTAACTAACCGCAGCAATTCTGAAGTTGGCCCAGGACCCGGTATTGTTTCCTTCTGTTATGCATACGGTCACTACATGGTGGTACTGACTCGATGGCACCTGACAACAACAACTTCAGTCCCAAGACCCACTTTCTATGCACACCAGTAGTTTCTTTGAGTCAGAGAGCATTCCTAAGCCTTTCCGTCAGTTATTTTCTTCCTATGTACAAGCTTTTGCTATATTCATTGAAAAGTTTGTACCATCAGGCTCACTGTAGAACACTCAGTTGTGTTCAGTTAAAGTCCAGTAACAATGCGAGTACTGCAATCCTACCTTATTCCATTTCTTTGATCGAATGCTGGTATCATTGAGGCTGGGTGTTCTGACATTAAAGCCACCAGTAGTTGTAACACATCATGAATATTTTCATCCTGCAGAATAAGGGTCATCAATATTTATTTTAGTCACATTTTATTCGAAAGCTTGAATAAAAAAATCAAAATGAAGAGCTCACCGCCTGGCCTACCTCATGCATCGTAAGTAGGTAATTTAATATACTCTGGAGTTCATCTTCCTTGACCCCTCGGTCCTAATAGGAAGAAGGTAGTGTGTTAATTTAGACAAAACTGAAACGTAAAATTCAAGAACGGCATCACAATTATTTTAAAGGTAATAAAAACTTTAAATCAGTGATGTTTTATCTAAAATCCCCAGAATTTTTATTTTATTATCCATATTATTTCAAGTTAAGTATTTATAAAATTGTAGTTATTTTTATAATTACTGTTATTTGATAGGCAGTTTTTTTTTTCAGAGTACTATTTTCTAATCATTTACTCTTTAAATACTACGAATTACCCTAAGACTTCACCTTACCAATTTTACCTTTATTTTTACTTTGTCTTGATTTTAGTCTTTAAAAGATTCTATTACAGCAAAATATATTACTTAAGTCTTCTCAAATTGGGACATGGGCTTTTTTCAGAATAAAATGTATAGGTACAGAGACATATGCTAATATTGAAGGTCTCAGAAGCATCTCACTAAAGTTAAATTCAATAAAGGTTATTATAAAGATTTACAAAATTTTGAAATGAACCCTGAGTTAGAAATTATTGTTGTTATGTGCCGTGGAGTCGGTTCCGACTCATAGCGACCCTATACAGCAAGGCTGTAAATCTATACGGGAGCAGAAAGCCTCATCTTTCTCCTGCATGACAGCTGGTAGTTTCAAACTGCCGACCATGAGATTAGCAGCCTGATTCGTAGCCACCATGCTACCAGAGTTTGTTGTTGCCTTCAAATCAATTCCAGCTTCTGGCAAGCCCACAGGTGCAGCGCAGTAGTGGTCCCAGACTTCTGAAGGCTGAAGGCCTTCCCAAAGCAGAGCAGCCAGCAGGCCTGAGTCCCCAGTGTCTTCTGGTGAGTGTGCACTGCCAGCTTTAGAAGCCTAGTCACTGAGTGCTTAACCCATCTGCACCACTGCTAATTTAACAGCATTGATAGTAAACTTGACCAAAACTTCCTTTTCACTTAATATGCTATCTTTCTCAATTATATAAAGTTGTTTTACCTTTAATATGAGCTGTTTCAGAAACAGTAGCATAAATGCCCGCAGTGATATAATTTCTTTTTGTGATGGCCGGGGACCATCTAGAATAAAACAGAAATGGGAAAAAGAAAAAGCAACAAAACACAAAATACTCAAATAAGCCTCTTGCGATTATTTTCAGTTAATTCTTGAGAGCATTTAAATTATAAAGAATTCTTCAAATTGGTTTCAAACCCATCAGCTGCTCCTTGGAAACCCTATACAGTGTCGCAAATGAGTCAGACCAAACGCGATAGCACTTAACAACAATTTACTTTTAATATAACATTTATCATCTTATCTGCTCATTATTTTAAATATTTATTATCTAATATGAAATTTTGAATGATATCAGCAACTCCAAACCAATTAATTTATCTGATTGTTGTTGTTAACTGCTGCTGACTTGGTTCTGCTCCATAGGAAGCTGGGGGTTTAAACCACTGGCCTTGCTGTCCTGCGATTACCCCACAGCACTACATCGGGACCCCAATGAATTTATATCATATTAAAAACAATAATAACAAGACCCCATTACTATCCAATTGATTCTAAAGCCTAGCAACCCTAAAGAACAGAGTCAAACTGCCCCAAAGAGGTGCCAAAACTGTAAAAATCTTTGCACCAGCAAATTCCATCTCATTTTTCTACCGAGTGGTGGTGGATTCGAACCGCTGATCTTTTGGCTAACAGTTGAGCATCTGACCACTTTTATAGAGTACTGGCAATTTCAAAGTATTCACTGTCTAAATACGGAATTTTTTTTTTTTTTTTTTAATATTATAACTGGAGTCCTGGTGTGGTGCTGCGGGTTCCTACACTCAAGGTTGGTGGTTCAAGCACACCAGCCACTCTTCAGAAACCCTTTACAGGGTTGCTATGACTGCGAACTGACTCGAC